CAGAGCTAGAGACATTATGAATTAACAAAATCAATATCAACAATAAGTCAATCATAAATTTACAATTCTTACAGGAATAATTTTAAGAATTTCACCCAACACTAGCCCTTCCCAAAAATTCAATGGCAAGCTTGTTTGTAAGAAGGAACTGAGAGACAATCTACAAGTAGCACAAGATAAGAGTCATATAGGAGGTCCATTTTTTAATGCCCTTTCCCTCTTTAATTACTATGCTCTTCTCTCGGGTCAAGTATTAATCTTCTCTTTCAAAATTGTGCGAATGCAGTTTCTTGTGAGCACGGATTACCTCCTATGCATTGAGACATATTTCAGTGAAGATTACCCTACAATAGTTTTTGAAAGTTTTGAACAAAGGAATAAGATCTTCAACTACATAGAACATTATTAAAATATCATGCAATTTCATGGTGTAAAGTATATGAGAAACAATATTATTGCAAGAAACTGCTACTCTGTCTACTCAAAAATAGAGTTTGCCGTTTCAATGTAATTGTACCATATCTAAGTGGTGCATTATTTAAGAAAGGGGGTAATGAATGTTAAAAAGACAACACTACCCTTACTAACGGTGAGGAGAGAGATGGGAGTGGGGTCATTAAAGGGAAATTCGAAAGTCTATATAATTTTTTGTCATAATATACCTACCAAAAACGGAAATGGTGCAATTATTATAACATTTTAATAAAGGAATACGGCTCAATTATATTGAGATGGAAGAGTAAATCTTATTATAGAATGGAGATAGAGGTCCTATACAAACGGATTTCAAACAATAAATTTTTCTTTTGAGTTGATGCTTTGTACCTTCAGTGCCGCAATGGAGAGAATTCCAGACCCTGTGCCATAGTCCAGGAAGTGTTCACCTCCTTTTATAGTTTGATGTAGCAACAGTAGACACATCTTGGTTGTAGCATGCTCTCCAGTTCCAAAAGCTAAACCAGGATTTACAATTATATTTGTTGCTCGGGCATCCTGCATCAAGGAAGATAACTTTCATAAATATGATTATATGAATGACTGCAGAACTGAGCATTAAATCCTTATAAGCTTCTAAATTTATCTACATAGAATATGTGGAAAGAAAACCTGGCAAGTGACAACTATTTTTATTTGTTTATTTTGAGATAGGCAGGAGGACTTTAGTCATTGACCATCTGACAACAAAAACAAGGCCACTTTAATTTTGAAAACCAAACAAAACACCTGATTATTTCCAATAAGAAAACAAAGACAACAATGAACATACTGGAGCAGTTTTCCACTCGGGCACAATCCAGAGGCCCTTGGTTATTTCCAATGGATCAAATGATTCCTGCATAAAACATAATGAAGATATTTATCAGGATCTAAGAATATATAGACTATTCACGAAGGAAAAGGAAAATCAATTACATCAGCAAAGACAGCAATTAGCACCTCTCTGAGATCAATCTACTAATCATATTTCACATATGCAGACATGTAGCATTAAAAATCCTGAAAGGATTCTAGGTGCTTCTAAGATTTTTGGGCAGAAGTTTTTCTTTTATGAAATGAATATTGTCAGAATCTAGTTCAAATATTATATGCATTTCACAAGTCCACGTGAATTGATACATTTAGCAATGTCTTTTACCAAAAAGAATAATTTTCTAGGAATGCCATGTCTAATTATCTTGCCATTTGATTTCAACGCCTATTCAGGATTCGATTTTAGTTAAAAGAATCATCACTTTCAAGTGATCTTTTTACAAAGAAATTAACATTAACTTGAATAATAACAAATGTCTGAATTAGACAGAGAACTGATATAACACTGTATAGGTATAAGCCGTATAACCATTAGAATGTTCTTGATGCACTGGGAATATAATGTGGTGCAGTACCTCACTGTCAAATTCATTTGTCATAATAAATAAGAAAATAGTATTATAAACAATTTCAGACAAAATGAAAACATGATAGGATAGGAACAACATGACTCAGAATATAAAAATATTAAATGCAGTGGAAATAGCAAAGGAGTGAACATTTTAACCTGAGTTCTTTTTATCCAGTCATAGGGATCATATTTTAAGAGTTCAAAGTCTGGCATTTCTATGCCAATGGAATCAGCAGCATATGATATGGATGAAGTCACATCTCCACATCCACTGAATATTGAACAAATGCTGACCTGCATGGAAGTTTGTAGCAAGGCATCAAATCGGAGTTTTCAATATCCCGACATCTTTGAGTGACATCCATAGCAGAGTGTATCTTAGAATTGGAAATATAAGCCACAGACCAAGTAAATCTGTTAAGGAGGTAGTAAGAGTAGTGAATAAATAACATCACCACCATCAATGCATTTGCTTTTTATAGCATACGGGTGGGTGCATGCCTATAACAAACAAGGAAAAATTCCCTTTATTTGAGCATCAATTTAGCAACATACGACTGATATGAGAGTAAGGCGTGATTGTATCAAAAAATAAAAAAATTCAAACATCTACCTGGACGATCCACAAGGAAACTTATTCTAGATAAAATCTGGAAGTTTCCTCCAAAGAAGATAATCAGACAGTAATATAAAGCTATAAACTGACTTTGGTTCTTGTTTCATTTTTCAGGTCAAAGCCAGAGCCATTGACAAATTTTCCTTCTCTTATCAAAATCAATTTGTAATCGATATTCTACTGAATATATTAGTTTAGACATTCCATACTTCAATGGAAGCATTCACTACAATGCTATCAGCACGTAAACAATGTGTAAGGAACAGCGTAAATCAATTATGTAACTCATGTGTGTAACAACATTAGGTATATAGGGTATCATAGTTCATAGTGGAACCAAAATGAAAATAGCCAAAGGAAAGCATGACGAATGAAACATACTTTTGGGAAAATAATTGCACAAGTCATGGTTTTGTACTCAATTTACCTCATCGGAGTCCTCGTAGTCATCATGCTCATCCATACTGACAGAATTTGCACCAAAACTCATAAGAGCTTCTGTAAATGAGTCCTAAATATCAACAACAAAAGGTTCAGCAACTTTTTGGAAAATAAAGCTGACCATTTCTGGGCAACTTTTGCATTGAGACATAACACTCATCTATCCAACTCGTAATATTTTACTAAATTCTTTCTCGATTGGCTACAATTCTATTATTGAGACAGAATGACATATAGTTCTCCAACAGGATCCTTCAAGTAACTAATAACCTCCTCGATATCAAAAAGTAAGAACATAGAAAATCACCCATTAGCCAAAACCACACATCTCATCATAGAAATTGTTAAACAACTCCAAACTAGTTACCCTCAAATCAGCCTCTATTTGAATATTATGCTATACTCAATATACTTGTGAACTTCTTCATACTTTGTATATTCATACCAATCATGTCTAAATAATCCTAAATCAATACACAAAACCAAGCATATAATTCTCCCACAAGAGAATTTCCCTTTTCCAAATAGTTTAATAACAGTTTATTGATATGTTGAACTCATCCTTTACCTTATTAATCACTAGTTACACATACTGAACCATAAATTAAGCATACAAACCGAAGATAATTTATGCATATTCCCAAAATCATCATTCCGTGGCACGAAATTCGTCATTGGAGTATCTTTATTTGGTAATAGATGGACTGATATTCAGACAAACTTCTCCAGTTCATTCCTCTATAAACCACAATTCTAACTGTTTAAGCCAAAATTATAGAACACATGTATCAAACTTAACCATAAATCCTAAATTGACAATCTTTCAGCGAAAAACCGGACCAAATTTTTCAGCAAACTTTCTCCCTCTACATTTTTCAATCAAAACCCAGATAAATTCAAATGTTGTCTCAACTTCTAAAGGAACCCCACTTGCTAAAATGTAAATTAATGCATAATGCAACTTACAACGACATCTTTACGGCATTTTATGAGGACAGACTGATAAAGGGGCACACTGGAATCCTTGGAGGTCGTTGGAGAAGAAGAGAGAGAAGCAGCAGCAGAGGAGGAACAGGGCCGCCATTGATGATTGAGGTTGAGCTTCGTGGATGAAGAGGTGTGTTCAGAGAAGAAGGAAGGTAAGGGACGATGAAGAAGACGGTGTGAGCGTCTTGGAAATTGGATACACACAGTGCAGGTAAGGTGTTTGAAGAAATGACTCAGTGAAGCTGCCGCCATTTTCTGTCTTCTTTAGTTCTTGACTATGCTGAGCTCTTCAATAGTTCAAAATCTTCAAATCTTTTTGACCCTTTGTATTTGCTTTGATAGAGTACAAATAACGGAGTACACTATGAAGTACTCCGTAATAGTATACAAAGAAGTACAAAAATACGAAGTACTCCCTCCGTTTTTAAATACTTGTTACATTTTTTCATGTGCGGATTCATGTGCGGAGTTTTAGGAGAAATTAGAGAAAGTAATAAAATATGGAGGTAATGGGGTAGGTGGAAGAATAAAAAATTGTAAAAAGCAAAAGAAGTTGAGAGAATAAGAAATTTAAAAAATGCGATTTATGTTGGGTCCACTAGTTGATAGAAATGAATTAAATATTATAAAAGCTTTCCAAATAAGAAAATGGAACAAGTATTTAAAAATGGCCGAAAATAGAAAGTGAAGCAAGTATTTAAAAACAGAGGGAATATATGATTAGAGAATGGATAGAATTACTTTTCCATTTTTTCAGACATTACTTTTAAATTCACGAAATTCTAAGCAATTTTTAGAATATAAAGGAAAAAATTGAGAGGGTCATGTACATATAACTTAGCTATAAAGAAAAGTAATTTATCTAAATTAAACCTTTTAATTATGAAAGTAATACATCTAAAAAAACGGAAGAAATATAAATTATTGACAACTTTGTATTTGATCATATGTTGTGATTTCCTTTGCATTAAAACATGTCCAATTTACATGTATATAAAGTTATATGCGATGTGTTTAAAAAAAAAAAAAGTTATATATGATGTAATTCATTATGTCTAATTCATATCTTAGACGATGGCAATACATACAGGCATTCACTATTATTGGACTCATATAACAATACCTTGTGAGATGTGAGAAAAGGTAGTGCATGGCACATAGGGGATGGAAGGAAAGTTAAGCTTCATCACTCATGGCTACATGGAACGAAACCCATTTGCCGTGAGTCAGCAGATACAGATCTGAGAGTATGTGATATCATCACGAACGAAGCAACTTGGGATGAGGAGAAAGCAGCTACCATTCTCCCTTCACAGTCTTGCGCAGCGCTGAGAGGCCTTTGCCCTCTCCCTGTGGGTAATGAGGATGACATCATTTGGAGGCATAGCAAAAATGGGGAATGTTCAGCAAGGATTGGATATGACTTTATTGCTAATAGCAAGGAGGACTACCCTACTACTTATAGTCAGTCCACAGACCGAGGAGCTCAGCAGATTTGGAAACTTGATGTAAGTAACAAATGGAAGGTGTTCCTATGGAAGATAAGGAGTAGGGCGCTCCAGGTTGGATATGAGTTCATGAAAAGAAACCTTCCATTCCCCACCTCTTGTAATTTGTGTGGGGAAGAGGACAAGGAGGAAACACTAGCCCATTTGCTAAGAGACTGCGAGGTTGCAAGTCAGGTATGGCGTGGAGGAAGACTAGGTATTGACACCAGAAGCCAGCATGACATTGATATTAGAGGTGATAAAAAAATCGGGCCAGGCTAGGCCTTAACATGATACCTCGTGTCCAAACCCGTAAAAATGTAGCAAGTTTTTTGGGCCAAAGCGGGCTTTTTGAGTTTTTCCCAGGCCAGGTTCGGGCTTTTAACTAAAAATGCGTTTTTATGCTTGCCTAAAACCGCTCTATTTTCGGGCCGGATCGAACTGGGCTAGCGGGCCGGGTCGATGTTGATCACCTCTAAATGATATCAAGACTTGGGTAGACAGCTGGATCGTCAAACTACGAAAGGAAGGGGATGACAGTTTCTGCCCCACAAAATACTTCATTGCTACTTTATGGGCCATTTGGGTTGGAAGAAATGAAGTTGTTTTTCGTGGTACTCGAGCTACTCCACAGGGGATTCTTAAGCTTACAGACACGAATTACGTTGTAATACCTTGGAAATTTCCTTCTTTTAAAATACTCTTTTTACTCTAAATAAAACTCATTTTAAGAAATAACTAAAATATTACCGCCACCGTGATAACAGCTAAGGCTATTTTCAAAGTCACACAGCGAAAGTCTAACTTAAAAATCAACTTTTTAAAATAAATAACTTGAGTTCACAACTTGAAAACATAAGTCAAATTAAAAACATTCACAAGTTGGAATCAGTATAAACATGGCCCCTTCAAAAACCAATTTAAAAATAAAACATAACAATGTTAGTCCATAATTAATAAATCAATAATTCAAAATATAAAACTAAGAAAGCATAATAGATAACTTTCTGCACTCATTCCCTCCATGCTCTTCATGCTTCAAGTACCTATCACTTTCTCTTTATTTCAACCCCTCTACTCACCATTAAAATGAGTCATAGTAGGGTCAATCCAAAGGAAAGCCAAACACAAACACAAAAGTACGAATCAGCAAAAGTTGAGTACATATGCGCCACACTAACATGATCATCCTAACAATGATAAATAAAACATGCTCGCCATACAATTCACTAGTAAACTTAACTTTGACTCATAACTAACAATATTAATTATTAATAAATAGCTTTGGATTACGCATCGAACGAGTTTCTTTTCTTAAAAATAGTCCATTCAAATATTGAGCTTCCAACTAGGGAGCTACCCCAATTGGCACCTACTATGTCACTCTTGCGACAGAATTCCAGCGTATTTATAATAAAAGAAAGTATAACGGCTTGTACTCCTGTAGAAGCTATGATCAAAAATAAAGTCACATAACTCCCCCCCCCCCCATATGTTCATACTCAAGGTGTATACGTTCTAAGAGTTTTGGTGCGCATCCTCTTACACTTTACGTGATTTACCAATTTCACTAGTGATGACTCCAACCAATCAATCAAGAATAATCACAATAATAAACAATACACACTTCCATTTCATTCTTGAATTAATTAGTAAGCACATATAATTTATTTTAATTAAGGTTCCTTGCCTAGTTTTGTGCACAAATTGCACTATTACTACCTTGGTGCATAAGATGCACTAATAAACTTCCTTAACTCAATCTCAACTTACATGAGTGAGTAATAAACAAACTAACTTCTTGACACAACTCCAATAATATATGGGTGAGAAATAAAATCATGAATCATGCTCAATAATTCTAACTTTAGCTCTTATAAACAACATACATAAGCCTTGTTTATTAAATTCATGCTTCTTTGATACTTAAAAATAAAACATACTTCCATGATTCACACTTGCTTATTCAGCTTGTATCATGCTTCAAATAACATATTCATATGCTTGCATAATAATTCATGATCAACCAACATCCAATCCAAGCATTTAATCAACCAAACATGCTATTAATTCATCACTTGAAACATACTTTACATTCCTAGCATGATACTACGCATACATAAATATTTCTATACGCATACGTACCATGAATAATGCCTAAACTCGGCCACACTCGCTCGAAATCACCTAGCTCAAAGCTTCTGACAAATAAAAATACATAACCATAATTAATCCACTATTCTCACAAATTTTCAGCAACTTTAACATACTTTAAACCTCACTAATTAACCCAATTTAATGGTTTAAAAGGCTTAAAACCTTTTCTTTAAGTGGGTACTTAAAATCCTTCAAAAAGACTTAGTTTTCATGACTTAAATAAAATTCTATCATACTTATTTAATATAAAACATCACTAATCAACTAGAAAATCATATTTAAATCATCAAGAACCTTTTTCCTTTTATGGGTAATCAAACCCTAACATAATAATTAAAAAGTAGTGTGTATAATTAAATTCCAGCATTAATTGAAGGCTTAAAACTCATTAAAAACATGTTCTATTAACAACCACAACAAACAAGAATCAAACTAACCCTAATCATAAACATTAAATTCCCAAATTCTAGGGTTTGTGAATTGGGGTTTTTAATCAAATTAAAATCTGAAAATTATAAGAATAAATTAACAACATCAACTACCCAAAAACAACATCAAAATATCATTAAAGTCATGGTTTGAATTAATTAAACAAGCTTAGAAATTAAATTAGGAGAAAGAGAGTTTTTTTTTTCTTTTATATCAAAACCGAAAAGGAGATGAGAGAGAAGGAGGCACGGTGGCCGGCTAGTGGTCGTCGGCTGATGTTGTTGGCCGCCTATGGTGGTGCCAGTGGTCACCGATGCCGCGTGGAGAGGAGGAGAGAGTGGCTTGGGAAAGAGAAGAGAAAAAGAGAGGAAAAAGGAGAGAGAAAAATAAGAGGAAAAGTTTTGTAAAATCTGACAATTTGATTTTTAAGTGTGAAATTCTTGAGTTTTTGGGTATTCATATCCTTTTTAAAAAAAATGCTTATTTACAAAAATTTCATTACTAATCCTAATTCTCATTGAATTCTCCTTTGGGGCTAACTTGTTGGGCCTTTAAACTCCCAACAAGTTAGTCCAACACTTTTATTGATGTTGACCCAATTTAAAACACTTTATTGCCCTAATTATTAGCTCATATTATTTTATACACACTTATTTTATATTTAAACAATTAATTCATTTAAAATAAAATGGATCATTTTAATTTATAAATTGAATAAATAATTTATATTTATAAAATATTATAAAAATACGGAGTATTACATACACAGTGGCAATGACTAGAGCGGAAGACCGGCAAGATGAAAACAATAGGAACGGGGAATAGAGCGACGACCAGGAACACTTCATTAAAGGCAACTCGAAGTGCAGATGAAGGGCTATCATCATCAGAGCTCCCAAAAAGGGCTAGGGTCGGAATAAAGGGGGATGGGAACTGAGAGATGGCAACACCTATTGGGGTAGGGGGCATACTGTTGTTAATGGTATGGACAGAGACTATAGCATGCTGGAAGGAATCTACGATGGTCTGCTTAAGGCTAGGAACAACGGCCTCCTTCATATTCAAATTAAGGTCCCAAGCTTTAGGCTAACACAACTAATCAATGGATAGATGGCTGAAAGAGTGGAACACCGAAATATCTTAAAGAGACTTAGAGATCTTTTCCCGTATTTTCATTGTATTTGTTGTTGTTTTTGCAAGAACTTGGGGGATTAATCCCTTTTCCAACCATTGTATAAAAAAAATAAAAACTTGGTTTTCTTTTTTTTTTTTTTTTTTTTTTTACCTTTAATGTAAGAGAACGTATACGTGCGGCTTATCGCACGAAACACTTCGTGCGTCCACAAACCACGAATTAAAAAAAAGGCGTGGGTTTGAAACCCGGTTTTACTGGGCTTCGTGGGCTCGATTAAAAAAAGGCGCGGATATCATCTACTTTGTAAAGATTAGATGATATCATCCAAAGCCTGGATAATATCCTCTAAAGACTAAAAACTAGTTGATATCCTTCTAAGTTAAGATGATATCCTTAAAAAGCTAGATTGTATCATCCAACCAGAGACTAACATCATCTAAAGACTAGATGATATCATCTAAAGACTAGATGATATCATCCAAAGACTGGATGATATCCTCTAAAGACTAAAAACTAGTTGATATCCTCCTAAGTTAAGATGATATCCTTAAAAGGCTAGATTGTATCATCCAGCCAGAGACTAACATCATCTAAAGACTAGATGATATCCTTTTGGATGATATCCTCTAAAGACTAAAAACTAGTTGATATCCTCCTAAGTTAAGATGATATCCTTAAAAGGCTAAATTGTATCATCCAACCAAAGACTAACATAATCTAAAGACTAGATGATATCATCCAAAGATTGGATGATATCCTCTAAAGACTAAATACTAGTTGATATAATCTAAAGACTGGTTGATATCATACAAAAACTGGATGATATCCTCTAAAGAGTAGATGATATCATCCAAAGACTGAATGATATCCTCTACAAACTAGTTGATATCCTCCTAAGACAAGATGATATCATCCAAAGACTAGATGATATCCTCTAAAGACTAGATGTTTATCTAACATTACTTATTGAATGTGCATATTTAGCAAGTATGGAATGTGCAATTGCTTAAAGTGACAGAAGATACAAGAAGTTGATTAATTTTTTCGAATCTTATTTTTTTTGTCATATATCATCCAACACTTCAATCATTTAAGTTGTATGTATTTAATTTGTCATCTTATTAAGAGAATTTAAACAGTAAAAGTAAATTATTTTTTTGGTGGTGTTTAGTCTTTTGCAGCATTATTTTTTGTTTTTTTGGAAATCATAAACATATTGTATTAGTCAAATCTTAATATTTCCTATGTGTAATATCTGAATTAGTCAAATAAAATTTTATCTTTTCAAACGTATATAAAACTAAAAATCATGTTTATATCAGTTTTTTGTCAAACCATATTTTAATGATTTATTTAATCAAGAATAGATTATATCATACAACAAAAAGAAAATATCCTCTAAAGACTGGTTTATATCATGTAAAATATTGGATGATATCCTCAAAAGAATTAATGATATCAAGCAAAGACTAAATGATAACCTTCAAAGACTAGATTATATCATCAAACGTATGGATGATATGAGACAAAGTTATCAGCTATTTTAAAAAACATAAATTAAAAAATATACAGCTATCACCATTGACAAAAAACACTTTAATCATATATTTTGTATATTTTTGTCATTTTGTTAAAAGAATAATAAATAGTAGAATTACATCTTTTTTTAGCACGCTTTGATTTTTGGAGTGTTATTTTTTGGGAATAATATATATATATTATTAGTCAAATTGCTATCATATTAGAATTAACCTTCTTACTTTCGTATATCAGATATATGATGAATGAGTCAAATTGCATTATCTTAACATTTCATTGTTTCACACGTAAATAGCTATTTAAAGCCTTTACCTATAAAAAAAACCTTTGCATATATATAGCTTGAGTCTATATACAGCTTGTGTCTATCTATATAAACCTTTGAGTGTATCTAAATTATACTTACTGTTCTTAAAAAAAGGGAAAAAAAAACCTTCCTCTTTGAAATGGAGAATGAGAATTTTTATGAAAACGTGGAAAAACTGCACTGTGAAAGACCGTCTTGCAGGATTTCGCTTGTAAGAATATTTTTATCTAATATAATAGTGTTTATATCTTACTAGTAATTTAATTTTTGTTAATGTGTGATTTTAGCCTCTTCCTTCCAAATGGAAGTTATTACTGCTTTCATTTAAAGATACAACAAGAGTGTATCAAGGGAACAATGGACGTGCTTGGAACGTCAAGGTGCTAAGTGTGGAAGAAGATACAAGCAATTCTGAAGGATTTTTCGCTGATCAAGAGTGGCAGGACTTTGTGGATAGAAATAATTTGGCTATTGGTGAAAATTTGCATGTGTATTATAAGAATAAAACTTTTTATATTAGAGTTTTTGATAATGATGGTAATGAAAGGCTTCCTACCGAAGCCGAAAATGGTATTTAAGATGTAGTACTATTATTTTGTTTAAGTCTTGAAATGTTATGTGTTATGTATTATGTATTATTATCACCTGCTTTATTAATATAATAAAATAAATAAAATGATGTATTATGTATTTTATAGCCTGCTTTATCAGAAATATCATATCCTAAAAAATACATATCATATCCGCAAACTAATATATCATATTCTCAATTGAGAAAAAAAAAATACTCCTAAGTTAAAATGATATTCTTAAAAGGCTAAATATATCATATCCTCAAACAAATATATCATATCCTCAAAGACACATATGATATCCTCAAACACACATATGATATCCTTAAACAAATATATCATATCCTCAGAAACATATATAATATCCTCAAACAAATATATCATATTTTCAAACACACATATGATATTCTCAAACACACATATAATATCCTCAAACAAATATATCATATCCTGAAATAGACATATGATATCCTCAAACACATATATGATATCCTCAAACAAATATATCATATCCTCAAACAAATACATCATATCCTCAATGAAGAAAAACAAATCCTCAAAAACATATATAATATCCTGAAATGAGAAAAGAAAAAAAAAATCTCAAACACTCATATCATATCCTCAAACACACATATGATATCTTGAAAGAAATGTATTATATCCTCAATGAAGAAAAACATACAAATCCTCAAAACATATATAGTATCTTGAATTGAGAAAAATAAAAACATCAAACAGACATATAAATCCTGAAATACACATACCATATCCTCAAAAAAAATTTCATATCCTCAATCAAGAAAAAGAAATCCTCTAGAACCTTTATATCCTCAAACAATAACTATATATCCTCTATTGATTTACCTATATCAGCTATCTTAGAGATGATTTCATCAACCAAACATAACATAACCAAATAATACATAATAATAGATCGAAGAAAATTAATCAATAACAATTACCCAATAATAAGATCTCAAGAATTAAATGCACTTACCACAATCTAGGATAATTACATGCGAAATGACGGCTTTGAGTGACATGTTTTTTCTTCTTCCAAGACATTGCATATTTTCGCGTGCTGGAAACCCCTCCTCTTCTTTTCTGAATCTTATTTATTTAAGCAAAAAGAAGAACATACAATATTCAGAAAAAAAAAATAAAAAAAAAATCTTTCTTTAGTATTCAAACTCGTTTTGGAAGGAATTTTCACGATCATAACTACTACTACTACTACTACTACTACTACTACAAAAGGTATATTGTTTGATTGTTCTATGATCATAGTTGGTAGTTTATTTTTTCAATTTTTCATGACATTGTTGAATGTTAGGGTTTCGTTCAAGAAATCTCTATTTTATGTAAATTTTCGTATAATCTTAGACTATTTTGCTTAATAATATGCTCTAATAATACTCAATTTTACATTATGTTTTAAATAATATGTTTTGATTAATGTCCTCAATAAGGAAAAACATATCCTGAAACATTTATATCATATCCCGTGACTAAATGTAAAGAATATCCTCACTTTTAGATTATTTTCCGTAATGTTTTAGGTGTTTTTTTTGTTGTTGATGTGTTCAAATTATGAACTAAATTTGCATTTTTGGTGGTGATCTTGTTAGTCTAGATGGCTAACCAACAACCACACCCTGTTGATGCTTTAGAAGATGCTCATCCAGCACTGTGCATAGAAGAGATACTGTGCATGCACATATTCTGTAGGTGCACCTACAAGGCCTAGGGTATGATTAATTGTACTTGTAAGTTTTGGAATGAACTATGGTATTATAAATTTTGGATTCCAGCAGTAGTGAAACAAAATCATGATTCAAATAGATTGTGGGTTGCCTATGACATTATGAGGCACAAAAAATATGGTTTCCACAATGGAGTGGTGCAAGACTTGGCTGAATTCCTTGATGGACTGCGATTAATTTTTGCAGAGGAGGACATGTACAGCAAGAAGAGAAAGAGGGAAGAGGAAAGCCATCCTGGCAGGGAGCCAAAAAGGATGAAGTTAGAGTAGGATGAGTTTATTAGTTGCATCTTTTAGATGTCCTATAAGCATTTTTTTTGGGGTAGTACAGGACATGCTTTTGTAGTAAAGTATATATTTTTGTGATTGTCAAAGTTTATTAGTGACAATGAGCTTTTGCAAATGTATTTCATTGTCACAACTTTGACAATCTTGAACTGTATTGAAATACTTATTCTGAAATGAATGAATATTAGATTATGTTCCAATTAATATGTTATGCTTTTTTTCTACATCTAAAAAAACTCTAATTATCAAATTGTTTTAACTATTTCAATTATCAAATGTATAATTCTCATAATACAGGATATCTTTTATACATAAGAGGATATGATTCTCTCAATAAAGGATATCTTTTATTTATAAGAGGATATGTTTCTCACAATGGAGGATATAATTTATACATTAGAGGATATGATAAACAACAATGAGATACAGTATGACAACTGAAAATATAAATTAAAATGATTGATAACACAGAAAATTGTATAAATTAGAGGATATGATTTACAAAATACAGTATATAATTTAAAGGAATTGAGGATACAATTCACACATAAGAGGATATGATTCTCACAATAGAGGATATTCGTATGTTTAATGAATTTAAAACTGTTACAATTAAAAATACAGTATGTGAATTGAGGATATACGTATGTCAATTGAAGATAATGTTTTGAAAATAATATGTTTGTGAACAGAGGATATAAGTATGCGAACTGAGGATATAAAAATGTGAAATGAGGATATAAGTACATCAATTGAGGATATATGTATATTGAGGATATCTCTATCATCTATTATACAGATTATTAAAAATATCTTAAATAATATATTATTATTATTATTAAAAAATATCTTTAATAAAATATTAATATTATTCAAAATATCTTATCCTAAACCAAACGACACATTGTTTTTTTTAAAAAAAAAAAACCTAAACGACATATAACTTGACGTGCCTATATAAAATACAGTTTTCTTTATCAAAGTTTCACTTCAAATCTATCCTTTTCTTCAAATCTATCCTTATGTATCAACAACCCTAAACCTAATTATTGTTGCAAAAATGGAAAACAAAAAATCATCACGAAATAAATAAAAAGTACGATTCGGTTGTTACTGAAGACAATGATATAGAATCATTGGAAATCCATTTGGGCTATCTCAAGGGTCAATTACAGGAAGCCATATGCAATGTTGAGGAAAAGCTTTGTATTGATTAAACGATGGAATTGAACAAGATTGAAAACCTAGTGAAAGAGAAGAAGAAATAGGAGTGGGAAGATGATATTGCCGCTGCTGCAGAAGAATCTGAAAGAATTTGGGAGGAAATGTAGAAGAATAAGAGGGTGGCTGGACAATCCTCAAAGTAGTTATCATTCATTGTATCTCTTCTTTTCATCAGTTTTGGAGAACTCACAAGGGGAGTGTAACTGCGTTTCTTTTATTTTTTTCAATTTCAAAGGCAACATCTTTTAACTTTGAGCCTGCAGGACAATACCTACAAACAACACTCTTTCATTTCCCAAGTTCTCTAAAACATCCAAATTTTAAAAAATGGGATGTTTTAGAGAACTTGGAAAGTGAAAGAGTGGTTTGTAGGTATTGTTTGCATGCTAAAAGTTAAAAGATGTTATGTTTGAAGTTGAAAAATTAGGAAAAATGCAGTTACACTATCGTAGTAAGTTCTTGAAATCTGATGAAAATAATGATATGAAAAAAAATTAATGTTTTTTTAAAATGTATTTTCATATCCTGAAAAATGTTAGAAATATGTAATATGTATACACTTGCTAATAAAATTGACGTCGTTATTTACTAAGTATTAGATTTCATTTTATTTCGTATTCAATTTTTATAGAAGGCTTTATTCCTCTTATAAATAAATTATATCTTCTGATTAAATGAAAGAATCTAACACATATCATATCCTTAAACCCTTATATCATATCCTCTGAGAAACTTAAACAAACCTACCTCAAATCCTAAAACATATATATCATATACTTAATCGAGAATGACAAATCCTCAAACCGCATATATCATGTTTTCTTATAAATAAATTATATCCTCTGATTAGTTAAAAGAATCTAACAAACCTACCTAAAATTATAAAACCAAATCCTCAAATACATATAACATATCCTCAATCGAGAAAAATAAAACTTCAAACCCTTATATCATATCCTCTTAGAAACTTAAACAAACCTACCTCAATTTAAAATCAATAAAAACAAATCCTAAAACATATATATCATCTCCTCAATCGAGGAATGACAAATCTTCAAACTTCATATATCATATTTTCTCATAAATAAATTATATCCTCTAATTAGTTAAATGAATCTAACAAACCTACCTAAAATTATAAAACCAAATCCTCAAACACATATAACATATCCTCAATTGAGTAAAACAAAACCTCAAACCCTTATATCATATCTCTGAGAAACTTAAACAAACCTACCTCAATTTAAAATCTATAAAAATAAATCCTGAAACACATATATCATATCCTCAATCGATAAAAACAAATCCTCAAACCGCATATATCATATCCTCTTATGAAGAAATTATATCCTCTAATTATATGAAAGAATATAACAAACCTACCTCAAACACATATATTATATCCTCAATCAAGTTAAACAAATCCTAACAAACCTACCTGAACTTAAAAATCAATGAAAACAAATCCTAAATTACATTTTACATATCCTCAATCAAGGAAAAAAAAAATCCTCACACGTACATATGTATTATATCCCTTTACAAATAAACTATATCATCTAAATCAATTTATCATCTTAAACACATATATCATATCCTCAATTGAGAAAAACAAATCCTCAAATTGCATATATTATATCCTCTTATAAAGAAATTATATCCTCTGATTATATGAAAATATAACAAACCTACCTCAAACACATATATTATATCCTCAATCAAGTTAAAC